CGATTTATATGCAGAAGATAGGGTGGGGGGAGGGGATAAGGAGTAAACAATAGTTTGGGATAGAGCCAAAAGAGAGAGAAGAACAGTTGAGCAGTCAAAGGAGTGGATAACGATCTGCCTGTATGAATGAATAGCTGTTAGGGGAGACTGTTAGCGACTTAACAGTAGGTAGCTGTAATGGCAGGCTATGTGATAACAAGGCCCTGGTGTGTGGGGTTGCGGGTGGGACATGGGACAGTTTAGGCCCTAAAATTATTGAACTCAATATTGAGTCTGGAGAGCTGCAGGAATCCCCAAGCAGAAAATGAGGTATTGTTCTTCCAGCTTGTGCTGACCTTTGGGGGAACACTGCAGCAAGCCTGAGACAGAGATTTTGGCCAGGGAATGGGGTGGTGTGTTGAAATGGCAGGCAACTGGAAGATCAGGGTCTTTTTATGTGGGCAGAATGTAGGTGTTCTGTGAAGCAGTCACCCAATCTATGCTTCATTTGCCTGATGTAGAAGAGACCACATTGTGAGAAGTGCAGGTGAAGTGCTGCTTCACCTGGAATGTATGTTTGGGCCCTTGGATACTGGGGAGGGAGGAGGTAAATGGGTAGGTGTTACACCTTCGCCGGTTACAGGGAAGGTACCGTGGGGCTGTTGGGGGGAGGGGGGTGGGTGGTGTTGGGAGTGAAGGAAGAGTGGACCAGGGTGTCCCAGAGGGAGCGGTCCCTGCGGAAGGTGGACAAGGGAGGGGACGGGAATATGTGTCTGTTGGTGGCATATTGCTAGAGGTGGCAGAAATGGTATCTCATGATCTTCCAGATGTGGATGCTGGTGGGATGGTAGGTAAAGACAAGGGGAACCCTATCGCTGTTAAAGGAGAGAAGGGGAGGGGGAGGGTGAGGGTGGAAGTGTGAGAGATGGGTCAGACCCAGTTGAGGGCCCTGTTGACAACGGAGCTGGGGAATCCTCGGTTGAGGAAGAAGGTGGACATTGCAGAGACTCCCTTGTCAAAGTTGGCCTCATCAGAACATATGTGATGGAGCCAGAAGAACTGGGTGAATGGAATGGAGTCTTTGTAGGAAGCAGGGTGCGAAGATGTATAGTCCAGGTAGCTGTGGGAGTCAGTGGATATTAGTGGCTAGTTGAGTCCCAGAAATGGAAACAAAGATTTTGAGGAAGGGAAGGGAGGAGTCAGAGATAGACTACGTGAAAGTGAGGGCGGGATGGAAATTGGAAGCAAAGTCCATGAACTTTTCCAATTCCAGATGAGAGAGGGAAGCAGCACCAATGATATCATCGATATTTCGGAGAAAGAGTTGTGGGTGGGGGCCAGAATAGGACTAGAACCAGGAATGTTCCATGTACGCCACGAAGAGACAGGCGTAACTGGGGCCCATGTGTGTACTCATGGCCACCCCTCTGACCTGAAGAAAATGGGAGGAGTTAAAAGAGAAGTTGTTCAGGGTGAGGATAACCTCGGCCAAGTGGAGCAGGGGTGGTGCGTGGGGACGGTTCACGCCATCTTACAGCATCCGCAGTTCTTTTGGTTCTTATTTAAGATTTTGAAGGGACTCATGTTTAACCAATTGAATGGAGTTTTTTGAAGGAGTAACATGTTGATAAAGGAGAAGCTATAGACATACTATACTTGAATTTCAGGAAGTCATGTGATAAGTTACCACATTTAATGTTACTGAGGATAATAAAAGCTCATGGTGCGAAGGGAGCATGTTAGCAAGAATAGAAAATTGGCTGGCTGGTAGAAAACAGAATGCATAAACAGGGCTCTGTCTGATTGGCAGGATGTGATGAGAAGAGGCCTCCAGGGACACAGAGTGCTGGGCCTCAACTTTTTACAATTTACATCAATAACAAAGGCGCGGGAGCTAAATTTGCAGCTAACACCAAGATAGATAAGAAATTATGACATGAAGAAGTCATAAGGGAGTTGCAGACGGATATAGATAATTAAGTAGGTGGATAAACAACTGGCAAATAGTGTATAATGTGGGAAAATGTGAAATATATGACCTGGCAAGAAGAATAAAAAGTACCACTTAAAAGGAAAACGACTGCACAATTCCAAGGTGCAGACTGTTTTGCGTGTTCTGTTGCTTGGGTCACATAAAGCTAGTATGCTGGTAGAGCACATCATCAAGAAGGCTAGTAGGATATTCTCCTTTATTCCAGGAGAAATTCGACGTAAAAGTAAAATTTATTCTTTAGTTACGTGGGACGTTGGTGAGACAACATCTTGATTACTGTGTGCAGGTTTGGTCTACTGATGTAAGGAATGATGCAAGTTTATTGGAGGTGGTTTACCAGAGTTTTATTAGATTGATTTTTGGAAGGAGTGGGTTGTTTTATGAGCATAAGTTGGACTGGTTGGTATTGTTTCTACTGGAGTTTAGAAGAATAATGTGTGGCTTGCTGGAAGTGTAGAAGATCCTGCGTGATCTTCGTAAGGTGGATGTTTCTGCTTGTGAGTGAGTCCAGAATTAGGAAGCAATGTTTTAAAATTAGGAATTTGCCTTTTAGGACAGAGGTGAGTGTTGTGTTATTTTGGAGCTGTCTGCTTCAAATCAGTGGAGGTGGGTCATTAAATATATTTAAGGCAGAGGTGGATCAATTCTTCTTAGGCAGGGAACCGTAGAACACCAGGGGTAAATGAAAACATAAACAGATCAGCTATGATCTTATTAAATGGTGGACCAGGTTGGAGGGGTTGAATAGTCTACTGCAGCTCTAAATTTGTATGTCTGTATTCTCCCAGATCCAGGCAGCTGCTGACATGAAGCTTGTATAATTGGTTAGACAATGGGCTGCTGGTCACCAACACTAATTTGTGTATGACCAAGGGCCTGGATGGGGGCAGGAGGATAACAGCTGACAGCCTTTGCTTCTGAACGCCAGCACCCTCTCCCTATGACCCTCAGCTGTGAGATCAACCCCACCTTTAACAACGTTTAACCTTGATCCTGGGATAGTGGGGGATATTGTACAGTGTGGTAGCTTGAACTGGAAGAGGCTCCAAGATCCTCAGTCAGAAGAAAAGCCCACTGCTGTCTTTTTAACCTGCCTGATAGGCAGGAGATATGGTGGGTCTTCTTGCTAAGAGCCAGCATGGCTTCTCTCTATTACTTAAAGCAACGCACAAGACACCCACCAGAGTGAGAAGATTCTGCCCAGGGTCTTTATGCTTATGACCTGACTTCACTTTGCTATCTTATCCAAAGAATGGCATTTCTAAATTATCTGGCCTTTGCATTATCAAAGCAGACTATAGACTGTCATTTCTCAGTACAAATAGAAGGTACAGACTATGTTGCATAGGGGAGAGGTCACTTATGAGGCAGTTTTCTTGTGTATGTGGACCATGAAATCACTTGATGCTGACTCTGGAATAAAGTTTTAAAAAGTTTTTCATTCTCTCACGGACCCAGCTTAATATATATTAATAAATATTAATCAAGATATAACTTTAAGAAGACCCAGCTCTACAGCATGATGACTTCAACTCTGCATTGTCATCATTTCACACACTTTACTCACCTTCTGGAAAGCACTGAGCATCCATCACAGAGAGGCCTTGTTTAAGGCATGCTTACAATTCTAAGTAACTCTCTGTTGCTGTTGCTGCCATTATGGTAAATAAGCTCAGAGTGGACATGTCCAGAATTCCAATTTGTTTCGTTTCATTCTTGGCACGTTTGCCTGTGTTGCTGACAATGTTCTGTAACGAATCTTAATCCATGTACAGTCCAAACATGTCAAAGGGGGAGCTGATAGCCAAGGTTCTGTCTGAGGGCACTCGACTGTAGCAGCTGGATGACTGCTTCTTTGAGAGGAATGTAAACACTTTCCAATGTACCGGGAACTGAATCACCTCATTTCATGTTGCCAACTGGCCTGATCACAGGACTCCCCTATTGATCAGAGTGAGTTTCAAACAGGATAACCCAGGTTACCATCACCTAGCCACATGACTGAGGAGAAACTGGTCATTACGTACAAAGTAATGGAAGATATAAAATGATGGACTAAAATCTGCTCAAGTTGTTTCTGATGATTTTGATGAATTTTGTAATAAATGGTACAATTAGTCATACACTATATTGAAACTAATTCCAAAGGAAAGTACATGTTAAGACAAAAAAATTACTTGTGCTTCCCTAGAATATTAGTAGGCAGCCCATTAATAGGATTATAATACTAGTTTTAAAAGTGAATCTGTCACCGCTTCCTCTAATACCACTCAAATGTTGTTCTATCTTTTCTCACTCAAAATGATTTTAAAACTAAAACAGAACTATGATGAAGGAAATTTTCCAGATGGTGAAGAAGTAATTGTGCTAGAAGGTTTGTGACTGGAAGATGAATTTTCAGATGGTGTTGTTCCCAAATGCCTGCTATCCTTGTCCCTCTGGGTGACAGAGGTCACCTGAGTTTAGAAGGTCCTGTTTTTAATGGGTCTTTGAAAGTTGCTGCAATGCATCTTGTAGAAGGTATACACCACTGCTGTTATGCATCACTGTGAAAGTGTTGCATTTTTAAGATTCTAGATGGAATGTTATCCCAGGTGGACTTTTTAAAATTTTGACTTAAAGTCTCTCCATGGTTTCACCCCTCTCCATTTCCATAATTTCCTTCAGCCTGACAAAACTTGAAGAATTGCATCCTTTAATGCTGTGTTCTTGAATATCCTTCCTTTCCTTCTTTCAGAGTAATTTTTTACTAAATTACTTTCTTATGAAGTATCTTGAGACTTTAAAGGGCTACATATGTGCGCGTTGCTGTTGAACGGCAGATTGGATCTTTTGCGATAGGATGACATTTACCACCAGGAAAGTTGAACAGAGGGAATGTGGAAATTCTGCACACTGCTGCTGTGGAACGTGAGGGCCGGTATTTATGTGTGTAGGGGAGTAAAGATAACTCAAACTGTGGGAAATTTGAAAAGCGTTGCCACGTGTAAGATCTTTATGTGTGACTTTCTTTCAATTTTCTTTTCAGGTCCAAATATTTCCGTGGTAAGAAGGTCCTGGATGAATATGAGATCCGTTTAGAACAGGTCTGTGTACGGAATGCTACTTAATTATCTCTGCAACTAAATCTTTTGAGTTTAGTCTCCTCTGAAACATGCCCTTGCCGCAAAACATTTAATTGGCTCAAACTCGTCACATTGATAAAATTATTAGATCTATCACAATGTGCTGGCTGTTTCATGAACCACTCAAGGATGACACTGGCTGTCCAATGTGAATGATCCAGGAAGTGTTCAAGAAAACCTTCTAGTCTCTGCTATCCTTTTTTTCTATTTCTAGCCTTGACTAAATTGTCAAAGGCTTTGTGAAGAGTTAGTCTTTGCTGAATTGAACTTTACAAACCTTTTTAAAAGCACAGTCCAGTGAAGTTGAGGACTGGTCTCAAGGTAGGTTGATGAAAAACTATTTACAAGATGTTCACCTCCACTGTATGTGTACATTGTGATGATAAATAGCATGTGCTGTATGTTATAAGGGAGAGAGATGTTCACCTGAAGTTCCTTTGCAATAAAGGCTGGTGTTATATGGTGTGACTGAGCTTGCCTTTGTTTCTAACTATTGTGCTTCAAACTTTTTATTCAAAACTACACCCGCCCAACACCACCACCCACACCCCCACCCCACTCCCCCAACCTCAGGTGAATGGTTTTGTGTGGAATTCAGTGTTTATTAACATGGGGGTGTGCTCTGTGCTTAAGGAAAGTACATGTTAAGACAAAAAAATTACTTGTGCTTCCCTAGAATATTAGTAGGCAGCCCATTAATAGGATTATAATACTAGTTTCACCACAATGAGATGAGATTTTGGATAATAGAGTCGTACTTCCATCTATAATTGTGGAACAGTTGTCAGGAATGTGAGTCCTGATTGCACCCAGGGATAGGGAGGGGATACAGGGGAAGTCACAAGGTCTGATTTTCATTAATTGACGTGAGGATAGGTTAGACTAGACTGGTGCAAGCAGTTACCATCTCCATGCCTAGTTTGTATTGGGCCATGGAGACCAGCAGTTGGTTTGTTTCTGCAGGAGAAAAGGATATGTAATGTCTGTGAAAGAGTGCAGACTGGTGGATGGGTGTCCTGTTTGTGCGTATTGACTGGCATGGCATCAAGAAGTATGGACGGAGTCAGTGGATGGAAGCCTGGTTTGCATGATGGACTGGGCTGTGTTTGCAACTCTCTGTAATTTGTTGTGGTCTTTGGAAGAGCAGTCGTCTTACCATGCTGTGATGCATCCGGGTAGGATGCTTTCTATGATGCATCAATAAAAACTAGTAAGAGTCCTTCGTGAGGATCCATGCTGAATTTCCCTAGCTTCCTGAGGAAGTAGAGATGTTGTTGTGCTTTCTTGACCATTGCGTCAATGTCCTGCTTCACCCACAGATTGCTGGTTATCATTACTCCCAGGAACTTGACATTCTCAGCCATCTCCACCTCAGCTCCATTGATGCAGACAAGGGAGTACCCTCCACTCTGCTTCCTGAAGTCAATGATCAGCTCCTTCATTTTGCTGACGTTGATGGAGAGATTGGATGAACACAGCAGGCCAAGCAGCATCATAGGAGCAGAGAGGCTTGATGCTGCTTGGCCTGCTGTGTTCATCCAGCCCTGCACCTTGTTGTCTAGGATTCTCCAGCATCTGCAGTTCCTACTATCTCTATCTTGATGGAGAGATTGTTGTCTTTACACCATGCCGCTAGGCACTCAATCTCTTTCCTGTCTTCTGTCTCGTCGTTGTTTGAGAACCGACCTACAATGGTGGTATTATCAGCAAACTTGTAAATGGAGGAGCAAATTACTGCTGAAGCTAACATTTTGAGTCTAGATGACTCTTCATCACAGCTGCGTTCGCTTGCTTTCTCTCCACAGATGCTGCCTGACCAGCTGTGATCTCCAGCATTTTTTTGTTTTCAGTACATGTAAATGGAGTTGGGGTGGAATTTGGCCACACAGTCATGAATATATAAAGAGTATTGTAGGGAGCTGAGTACACAGCCTTGATGAGGATAATGAGGTAGGTGTTGTTGCCTATTCTTATGGTTTGCTGTCTATGGGTCAGGAAATTGAGGATCCAGTTAGAGTAGGGAGCGGAGATCTAGGTCTCAGAGTTTAGAGATGAGTTTGTTTAGAATTGTGGTGTTGAAGGTGAAACTGTAGTCAATAAGTAGGAGTCTGATGTAGATATTCTTGTTATCCAGATGTTCCAGGGATGAGTGTAGGGCCAAGTAGAAGGCATCTGCTGTGGACCTGTTGCGTCGGTAGGTGAATTGCTAAGGATCAAGGCATTTGACAGGCTGGAGTTAATGTGAGCCATGACTAACCTCTTGAAGCACTTCATAATTATGCAGGTCAGGCGATAGTCATTGAGGCATGCTGCACGATTTTCCTTTGCGACCAGGATGATGGTGGTCTTCTTGAAGCAGTTGGGGACTTCGGATTGTAGTAAGGAGAGGTTAGAGACAGTCGCGAATACTCCGGCTAGCTGGCATGTGCAGGATCTGAGTGCGCGGCCAGGGACTCCATCCAGGCCAGTCACTTCCCATGGTTTCATTCACAAGAAGGCCAATCTGACATCTGCAGTGGTAATCATGGGTACAGGTGCATCCGAGGCCGTTGGGATAGGTGATGTTGCTTCATTGATCTTCTGTTCAAAGCAAGTGTGGAATTTATAGAGCTTGTCAGATGGGGATAAGCTGTTGCCATGATTCTATTCAACTTCACTTTGTAGCCTGTTATGTTGTGTAAGCCTTGCCACAAACGATTGGTGTTTGTGTCTTTGGTCTAGGTCTCAAGCTTAGTTTGGTATTGCCTCTCTGTGTCTCTGATGGCCTTACAAAGGTCTTACCTGGATTTCCTGTACAGGTCAGGGTTGCCCAACTTGTATGCCTCAGACCTGGACTTCTTGTAGGAAGTGGGTCCACCCGGTTTATCCATGGTTTCCAGTTGGGGAACATTCGGATTAACTTCTTCAGCTCACAGTCAGCTACGCACTTACCAATGAAGTCTGTGACAGTCATGGCATATTCGTTTAGGTCGGCTGCTAAGGTCTTGAATACGGACCAATCCATCGACACTAAGCAATCCCATAGAAGCCCTTCCGTTGCCTCAGACTAACACTGCACTACTTTCTGTATTGGGTCCTCACACTTCAATTTCTGCTTGTAAGCCGGGAGGAGGAGCACAGCATTGTGATCTGGTTTTCCAAATTCCAGAAGGGATATGCAGTGGTAGGCATCTTTGGTTGTATGGTAGTATTCAAGGGTGTTCGGACCTCTGTTAGGACAGGAGACGTGTTGATGGTATTTTAGTAGCATGTTCTTGAGGTTGGCCTGGTTGAAGCCACAAAGCCTTGGGATATTCTGTCTCAAGACTGTTTGCAACATTGTACACTTGGTCAAGTTCACTCTTCACTTCCACACAGGGTGGGAAATAGGATGGCAGAGGTGATCCTGTGTAGCAGGTAGTAAGGATGGCATTTCACTGTAAAATATTCTAGGTCGGGGAAACAGTAACTCATCAGGGTTGCCATGTCTGAGCACCAGGAGTTGTTGGTCAGGAAGCAGACCCCACTGCCTCCTGCCTTGCCCAAGGATGTGGAGCAGTCCATTTGGTGAACTGTGAAACTCTCAGGTTGTCAGGCATAGTCAGGTGTAGCAAGAGTGAGCCATGTCTCTAAAACAGAGCACACAGCAGTCTCTCAATCCCCTTTGGAACGTGAGTCTAGCTTTAAGTTCATCTATTTTGTTCTCAACGGCTTGGACATGTGCCAGGAATATGCTGGGGAGGGTGGACTTGAAAGCCCAAAGTTTCAGTCTCACCTGAAGTCCAGCGCATCTTCCACATTTCCTGGGTAGGTGGCTATTCCCAGTAGATCCTGGATGTCGGTGAAGGATGTCTGCTGCTCTGGGAGGTAAGTGTGTGCTCACATTGGGGCCCTGGGAACCAGTAACAGCCTTGAGGGTTCTGAGGAAGGGGTAGGTCTTATGGCTGATTCAGTCAAGCCTCCTCAAAATAGGGTTACCGTGGGGTCAGGTCTTGTTCCTGCACTGGTTGGGCCTTGGTTCCAGGTTTTCACGAGGTCGGGAAGTCTACTATGATCTGTAGTAGGCCACCACAGCTAAACTTGATCTTGGAATGACCTCAGAGGCAAAGAATCTCGAGGTCACAATGACTTTGATTTCTGGCAGGGCACAGCAAGCCAACTTTCTGGTGCCAACCTCTTCGCTCAGCTATTGAGTGCAATTGACTGAGGGACACCATCTCCTTGGAAACCCACAAGCAGCTCTGACAGGGGTTGGATTTAGGGCTTTCACATGGTGAGCTTCCCACTTGCCACTGGAGGAATACCAACAATGGCAGAATGAGGCCCGTTGATGGTCATTAGTTACTCACTTAAGGGGCTTAATTCGTGATGGGATAGGAAGGGAGTCTATAAGCCTCCTCACCCTGGACTTGGTCGGGGAAGAGGTAGGGAGACCACAAGATCCCCAGCTGCCAACCTTCCACAGATTAAATACATCCCTTACACCAAAATTCAGGGATGACATTACATTTTGCCCCAAATGTGGAAACCTAAACTCTCCTTTTATAGCCATGCACTGCCAGGAGAGTACTTGGCCCTGCACTACCCAAGTGTTCATTAACCAATTTTCCTACAGCATGTACACTGTGGGTGGTGTCCATGTGCCAATGGCTGATTTGCCCCTCTCCACTATGTTCCTTTTGTGAGACCACATCTTTTCAGGGCATGGCTATGAATTGCTTCCTGTGTTTTCACCTTCATGCACCTGTTCTGTCCCTGATCTAAAATGAAAAGCATGTGCCACTTAATTAAAATGCATGCCTGGCTCTCCTCACTCTCTCAATGAAGCCCTGGATGATGTTAATTGGCTTTATTGCAAAATGAAGCAGGTTTCTGGAACCAGCCTTTCCCCATCCTGATGAAACTTGCTGGGAGCTGGAACAGCAATGGGAAGCCAACAAGACAGCTGCTGCTGCTGCCATCTTCAGTGACCATCGCTTCTG